GGTTTGCTTTCACCCCTCCCCCAGCTTTAGGAAAAATGAATTCTGGGCTTCCTGGTCTGATGGGCCAAGGTCTGCATACAAATGTATCAAACACACCTTAAGTGACTGAATTTTGAGCAGTAACTTCTTTTGATACGTGACTTCAGCATTGTTGGGACCCTTATTGGCTGTTTTTAGTCTGTATCTTCCTCAGGAATTGACTCCAGGCACCAAATAAATAGACCTACAATAAAAATGCACAAAGGAAGGTTAACAGCCCCAGCCCTAAATCTCCTCTTCTTTCCTTGGGTTTCAACCCAGACAGATCCTACTCAGTGAAACTTAATTGACCTTTATATCTGTGTCCTGTCCATATCTGCACAGCACGTTTCCATGGAGCAGGACCTGCCCAGCCTGGGATGCCTTATGTTTGCTTTTTGCCCTCTCTCAGCTGAAACAAGGAAATAACAACTTGTGTCTGTCTCCCCGATGTTATTGTGTGTCAGGTTCCCTAACCCCACACTTACAAAGCCTCCTCCTTATTAAGCTGAGTCCTTCCTCTCATTCATATCTCTGCAATAACCACCCTTTCAGCAACTTACTTAATGCAGCAAGAATATGCACTTACATTTGTCACATATAAAAGTATGAAGAAGGAATTATCTGCACACCTCAGGGAGTCAGTAAATGGGTGGCCATAAAGCCCTTCTGCTCCACCCAGTTTATCCACAGAGAAGCAGGTCACTGACATATTTTATCTCTTTTACCTCATCCAGGGAGATCCCAAGTCTAGAATTCTTTTCGTACTGCAGAAGAAATATTTAATAATATTTTTGTTTAAAACAAAATGCAATCCCCAGCTAATCCTCGAGCAAGTGGTGTTTATTGTATAATAAACTTGATCTCATCCAGCAGCGCCCTGAGATAAGGAGTTCCTAGGAAGACTAATTAAGGTAATGCAAAAAAACATGACCTGGTTGGCATCAGCCATAGAGGTCCAGGCTTGGCCTCCAGGGAGGGAGGGTTATGGATCAGGAATAGAGGCTCTAACTCAGATCTTTGTTCCCTGGCATCATCACTCTTGGTTAAGCAGCTCAGAGTGGCTCTGATCCTGTGCTGTATGAAAGGAATGATGGTTAATATGGACCCCATGTGCCATGAGATGGGCAACTCCAGCCCACAGGGCAAAGCCATGAGGTCCAAACACCCAGAAGCACTTTTTGAGGAGCTGAGGTTGAAGGGCAGAAAACCAACACACTCCAGTGCAAATGTGGATGCAATGGTGGGTACAGAGTCCAGAGCCATGTTCGCATCCAGGGAAGCCTCAGGTGCTGCATCTGTAAGATGTAGTGGGGGAAAGGTCTTGAGCATTACACCAAGTGCTGATGGCAGTCTTTGCTTTGAAGGTTTTCCCTTCCCATGACTCTGAATCCAACCCGGGGAGAAGGTGCACAGTGGGGAATCTGTCTGACAACGGGGAGATGAGGAGATGGGGACAGGGGCTGCCACAGAAAGCTGCCTCTGGTGACCTGCCAGTGAGTCCCAGGAGGCAGCAGAGCCTCAGGTCTGCATGCCCAGGCACTATTTGGGGGGGAGGAGTGAATAACCACAGGATGGAGCAGGGGGTTGTGGAGGGGAAGAGTGGGAGCATGGTGAGAGAGAGAGCCTCTTATCTGCTTCCTCATGGCCCTGGCTGCTTCCTTCCATCTCTGCATCAGGACCTTCCCATGCCCACCAGCCCTCAGCAGCCCTTCCATATCCCAGTCTAAAGGAGTTTGTTCCTCCTTTCTACCTTCTTTAAGAGAAACCTGCTCTAATGCAAATCCTTTCTCATTCTCTCTCCCACCTGCCTTCTTCACCTTTCCCCATCAAACTCAGGAACAACCCTTTCTTTTTGGAGCAGTAACTGGGACATAAAAAATGGCTGTGGAGCCATCTGGGGCCCCTGGGGATTGTCACAGTTTCCCACTATGGAGCACCCAACACTGCCACAGTTTAGTGCCAGGGGCCACGGGGGGCAGGCAGTACCTGTCCCTCCCAGGGGCTCTCCAGGCAGTGAGGGGTTAATGCACAATGGACTTTTCAGGAGCAGAGATGGAGCATCAGCCTTGAAAAGCACCAGGGCTGACAACTAAACTGCTGGTTCTGGGTCAGCAGCCATGAGGTGCAGGGCTCTCTGCAAGCTGTTTCCATTTCTTATAAATGCCTCTTTTACAGAAAGGAAGTTTGGTTGAAGCACATGCAGGAGAATGAATGTCAGAAATGTTGAAACTCTGCCCAGGCATGATGTAATGCCAGCCAGCGCTCTGATCTGCAGGCTACAATAAAGATATCCTGGGATGGGCCATTTACAGTTTCCTGGAATTGGAAAGACCTATCTCAGGACCCAAAATCATTGCAGTTCTCCCTACTGATGGAGCGGTGAAGTTTTAAACTAAACCCAAATGAGATTCTGGGCTTGTTTTGGTGGGAATAAAGGAAATTCCAAGAACTTGACTTGTGTCTTTGGACTTTCCCTGCTCCTTAATTTCCTCTCCACCTTGCAGGAGGACACAGAGCTGTCATGAAGGATTTGCTGAGGGAAGTCCTGTGAGCTGCAGGCACCTGGCAGCTGTGATGAGTTTGCTAATGAGGGTGCAGCCCTGCAGCAGCCTGAGCCTCCCTGAAAAGGCCAGGGCACAGTGGGGCAGTGCTGATTTGGAGTGTCTTGTGGTTGTGCCATCCTGGCCAGGAACTCCCCTGAGGCTGAAAGGGGAGTCCATTTATTTTACGTTGCTGGAGTCCCACCTGTGCAGCTGGGGCTGAGATCAGCAGAAAAAGAGTAAGTTTTGTCTTACAGTTGGTTGGAGTTTCTTTTGCCCTTGTGGTATCTGTGTGAAGGTGGGAATGGACCTGCCCAGTCAGCCATCTGCAGAGCCAGGGAGACCAGCAGCATGCGTGGTGGGCAAGGCTGGCTGTGCCTCTTGTCTGGCTCCTGCCTTGGAGGGTTTGCTCCATCCTGGACTGCTCAGAAAATGTGCCAAACTTCCCAGCTCTGGGAAGGGCAGGCCAGGCCAGTGCCTGGGGCAGTGTGGTGCTGTGCCTCCAGCCCTCTGCAGGGGCAGGCAGGGGCCAGCTGGGGCTGGGGGCTCATGGGGGCCACCCTGCCTGCACCCTGCCCCTGCCTGCACCCTGCCCCTGCCTGCACCCTGCCCCTGCCTGCACCCAGCCCCTGCCTGCCTGGCTCCTGCCTGCCCTGCCACTGCCCTCCAGCAGCCCAGGGTGTCTGTGAGCACAAGGCAGGGAGATCCTGGGAACTCACAGTAGCTCTCCAGGAAAAGTCCCCTGGGTGTGGAGGCTGCAGTGATCTGAGGGTGTTTCACCTCTGCTCTGCCTTGGGAAGGACGTCCATAACCCCTGCTTTGTTTGAAATATTCTGTCCTGTCCTCGTGCAAAGAGGCTGCCAAAAAGGAAGCTCTGACAGACACTGAGAAGCTCCAGGGCCGGTCACGTTTGTGCCACGAGGATCCTGGAGGTGTTGAGAGCAGGCAGGACACTCTGGGAAGGTGGCTTGTCCCCTGCTGGGACAGACTGTGTGGGTGTGCAGCAGGATGGGACCCCGGGCTGGGCTGGGCACTGGTCCCTGGGGAGAATCAGGGTGGCATCAAGGACCTTGTAGGACCAGAGCAAAGAGTGAAAATCATGTGTTAAAACATCTCAATTGTATTCCCTATATTTTAGTTATTATTGATTGGCTTTTAACCTTGATACAAACTGCAAACATCTCTGCCCAGGTGTAGGCCACAGGGGAGAACAGCAGCCATGCTGGATAATAACACAGTTGACATAGGCAAGAGTCAGATTTGGTGCTTGAAGGGATGGCTGCTCCTGCTCCTGCTCCTGCTCCTGTCCTGCCGGGGTCAGGCCGGTCACGGCTGTTGCTCCTGAATGTTGTTTCTTTGGATGCTCTCCAAGAGGATGCTGTAAGTGCTATTTGCCCCCCCTCAAAAAAAAAAAAGAAAAGGAAAAACGAAGTGACACATCGGGCTGGAGGCTGGGGGCCCATCACAGTTCAGCTGCCCCTCTGCTGAGGGACAGGGTGGATCTACAGCAAGGGAAGGACCTGTCACATCCTTCTCCCCACCAAGGAATGGGGGGACCCTGGGGAGGGAACACCTTGCAGGGACCAGCTGTCCCACATGATTCCTTGTTCAAACTTGTCACCTTCCCCTGCTCGGTGGGTGTGATTTCTTCCAAAAGAAGCATGGATTTTATTTTTTTATTATTATTTTTTAACATCTCCTGATGTCCCACTGACTCACCAGCTGTGGCTGAAATCTCAGAGCAGAGGTTTTCTGCCCTCCCCCCCTCTTTATTTTTTGTGTCCCCCTCCCCTTTTTTTTTTTTTTTTTGCCCCCCTTTTTTTTTTGTGTGTGTATGTGTGTCCCCCTCTTTTTTTTTGTGACCCCTTCCCTTTTTTGTGTCCCACTTTCTTTGGTGTCCTCCCTTTAAGTCCTCCCCTTTTTTTTTTCTCCTCGTTTTTATTGCCTCCGTTTCTTTTGCCCTTCTTCTTTTTTTTTTTTTGACCCCTTTTTGCCCCCCCCTTTTTCTTTGAGCCCTTTTCATTCGAGCCCTTTTTATTCCCTCCCCTTAATTTTCGGGCGGCCGTTGTTTGTGCGCTTCTGTTCCTTTATTTCTGCGTCTCCCGGGCCGATGTGCCCCGGTCCTTCCCATCCCCCTTCCCGCCGCCCAGTTTCGGTTTCCCGCGGGAGCGGCGGCGCCGGAGCCGCTTCCCGGAATCGGTGCTGCCGCTCTCGGCCGCGGGAGGGCGCGGGCCGGGGGGACCAGGGGGAACCGGGGGGACCGGGGGGACCGGGGGGGACCGGGGGGGGCCGGGGAAGCCCGGCCGGGCCCTGAGTCAGGGGCAGGAATGGCCGGGAATTCCAGCGGCCCCGCCGGGAAATCCCCCCGCGGCACCGGGGGATGCTCCTGCCGCGACCCCCGGGGGGGCTCCGACCCCGGCCCGATGCGCTGCCCACCCGGGAGGGACTCGAGGGGAGCACAACTGCTCTCTGGGGTGACTAATAATGCTCACCGGGTCAATTAAAGTGTAAAAGGGAGGTATTTAATTAACCTTTAAGTTAGGGGGGTGTTTTATGTTAAGGACATGCTGTTTTCCCTGGGCAGGCTAGAAAAGGTGATACAGAATCAGCTGGGTTGGAAGGGACCTCCGGGATCATCCAGTCCAACCCTTGATCCAACCCCGCTGTGGTTCCCAGCCCATGGCACTGATGCCACATCCAGTCTCACCTTAAACACCCCCAGGGATGGAGAATCCACCACCTCCCTGGGCAGCCCATTCCAATGGCTGATTGCCCTCTCTGTAAAGAAATTCTTCCTAATATCTAACCTAAACCATATAGATATATGTAAAATAGAAAAATTTCATATATAAATTATGTAATACGTATGTCATTAATAATATATATAATATAAATATATATTGTCTAGAACTCCCTGCAAAATTAGCATATACTATATATATTATATAGTATATGCAAAATATAATTATAATTATACATCATCAAGCATATATTTATATCACATATATGATTTTTTATTTTCCTGGGCATGCTAGAAAGGATGGTTCTTTTGAACTTTCCGTATAAACTCGTAGTGAATACTGAAGTACAGCTGGAGCAGTTCCCTCCTGAAGCAGGATCCAGGTGGGTCGGAGGGCAGGTCTGACCCGGCCAGAGCTCCCAGTCCCTTGCGAGTCCAAAGTTCCTTTTTTGGGGGCCCCGAGCTCGTGCTGCAGACTCGCGCGCGGACGGCGCGTGGTTCGTGTCCTCTCTCGTGGGCAGTTCCCTCACTCCCTGAGCAGTCTTTGCACACTCGTTTCTCCCCGCTGTCCCCGTGTGTCCCAGGGCCCGGCCCGAGCCCGCTCGCCCCGTTCCCTTTCTCCTCCCTTTGGCCGCTCGGAAGCGCCCGCACCGAATCCAGGGAAACCTGACCCGGGAGGTTTCCCGGGAGCGCTGGCCTGGCTTTAACTCCCGTGTGGCCGCACCCAGGGCTGTCCCGCTCCGCCGGTGTCCGCCTGTTCTCCAGGCACGGCCCTTCCCAGCGGCACATCCCGCTCCGGGCGGTGCCGAGCGCGGGGCTGGCCCCGGGGATTGCCGAGCACGGACGGGGCTCGGGCTCAGCCCGGGGGTCGGAGTCACGGGGAAACGGGGCTCTGGAGCCGGAGGAGCTCCGCACACCCCAGGGAAAGCCCTGCCTGGGATTTTCCCCGCCCCAGAGCTCTCCGGGCAGGGCTGTGCATCCAGCGTTTGCGGTCTCCTGTTGCCACCTGCCGCCCGCCGCCTCCTCCTGCTCCTGTGCGGAGACTGCTCTGCTTTGGGAGCGGGGCTGCGGGCACAGTAAAGGGTCTGATGGATCAGCGTCTGCACCAATAACTCACAAATAATCATCTTGCTGATTAATCCTCTTTTCACCAGCAACTGTGCTCGCTCCCCTCATCTTACGGAGCTGGAATGAAAAGCTGTATTTTTCCTTAATAAAATTTGGATAATGCCAGAAAACACTGGAAAAATCAGTATTGATGTGGCAAGAAAATGTTTTGTTTCTGTGTACGCGTTCTGGTGTCACAGGATTCTCAGCCGTGCTTCAGCCGGGGTCCCCGGGGATGCCCCCAGGGAAGGAGCAGGGACTGACATGTTGTATCAGGGCCTGTCTGACCCAGGAATCTGGAACACATTAAATCAAACCCTCGGCATCACCGTGACTGACCACAAGTGCCTTGCTCGGCTGCTCAGCTTCTTTTTTCAACGTGTCAAAACTGGGAAGTTTTTCAAGAAGCTTTTTCTGTGATTAAAGGGGACACTGGAGGAACCTGCCTCTCCCTCTGACCGAAAATCTCTTCTCAATTTGGTTCTCATTTCTTTCTCTTATATTTGAAACTTTTTTTTTTTTTTTTTTAAGAATTAATTTTTGCTGGGATATTTATAGCAAGACATGCAGTCATCCAGGGAGCTAGAGGAAACGTGCAAGCTCAGCTCTGCCACGGGCAGGGGGGGCACCTTAATGAGCACTTGGGTTTTTAATTCATGAATCATTAGAAATAGCTTCCAGCAACACACTTGCACACTCACCTGAAGGATCCAATTCCCCTGACTCTGAGAGATTTTACAATAACTAGATTTGCTAAAGTGTGGGAATAGTTTAGAAGAAATTTAGGGGGAAGGGGAACGTCAGAGACAAACAGTTATTCACTTTATTAAAACTAGTAAAGATACAGAATAAATATTTTCTCCAAGATACATATATCTGTAAAATGTAATATAATTTAGTTGACACCATAGAAATAAAGTCATATCACTCTAAACACTCCTATCCATTAACTTTAAAAAACCCAGATTTTAACACAAAGGAGGAGTACTTCTTTAATAAGTAAACATTTTACTGCTCATATAAATTTTCAGCAATTTTAGAAACTTCTGACTCTATGCTCTTGTGGGTTTTAATGCTTTTTGGATGAATGTCATCAGCTTGTTTATAAATATCGTTGCATTCCTTCTTTCTGTATCACATTTCCCCTGAAAAATCAATCAAGAAAATGAAATTGATTAATATTTAATCATTATTTAGAGCTTTTTCATCTCAAAGTCATTTTATGAATGATACAATTTTCCTGATCACACATATGAATCCTTAATTTAGAGGTGGAGCAAGTGGGAGACTAGAACAAGGGAAGGGCATAAACATGAAATAATGCCAGGATTTATTCTTCCATGTATTAAAAACAAGCCAGTAAAAAAATTACTCTCTTTTGTAGACATAAGGGCTCATCTATGAATTATAGATCATATTTTGTAACATCTCTGCTGTGGGATCTCTGGCAGACAGTGAATAAATTCCTACCTCTTTTGCCAGGCTGGGAGTGAGAAATTGCTTCAGTCTTTCAAAATTTTGGAAAAAAGCACTGAATTTTTTCATAGCTGGATAAGTTTTCAGCCGTTCTGTCCCTTCAAAGATTGTGCTGATACAATTCACATCCTAAGACGAAAGAATTAGCAAAACTGATACAAGAATTTGTAACCGTGAGCTGCAATAAGTTTATTAAAAATCATTGGGGGAGATGCCCAACTGCCTGGGTGACAAATTCATTCTTACTGACTTTTGGGCTCGAGTTTGCAAGCGACTTAGGCAATTGTGTGTATTTATTTGATGTGCATACTTATGTACTCTGGAGGCAGAAACCTGGCAAAGTATCTGCTGGAGTGTGTTTTGTAATGTCCAGATGAACCATCTCATTGTCTAACGCCTCAGTCCTTCCTCTTCTGCAGCCATCTGAAAGCCAGTTTGATTTCTCACATCTGCTCGTGCCTCTCGAACACAAGAGAAAGCAAATAAATGAACCTGAAGGTGCTGCAAACACAAACTGTGCAACAGCTGCCACCTGCCTGCCAGGAGAGATGGGGACAAAGCCACCCTCGCACTTCCCAGCCTGTGTCCCATCCCAGGTGTGGCCACACTGGTCCTGTGCCACAAAGTGGGAGCTGCCTTTGGCCTCTGAGACCTTGTGGTCTGGACAAGGCCACCAGAAGAGGGAGGAGGGACGTGGATGGAAGCCGAGCAAAGAGTGATGATGGTCACACTCGCCAGTGCGGGGCTGCTCGGGAAGAGCTCAGCTAAACTCACAAGGAAGGAAAGAAGGAGAGGACACGACCATCAGTGGCAGGAACAGACTGAGGTGTCACAGGAGGAGAAAGTGATGAAAAAGGGAGAAAAAACTAATCATCGAGGATCAGAGGAAATGCAGCAGCTGCTGAAGGTGCCCGTGACACCCACGACCAACGCGTGGTCCCCTGTTAGTCACTCCTGGTGCTGCGGGGTGAGTAAGATCATTCCTCCCACAGCCTCGCTTGGGAAGCCACTTCTGCTGCTGCTGAACAGCAAACTCAGACCTCGAGGAATTCTCTGTCACCTCTGGCTCCAAAGCACTGGAGAGAGGGAAGCAGCTCATCTCCCCAGAGGGAAGCTGGGCACTGGCACAATGGGCACCTCCAGGGACCTCATCAGGGAAAGGGACAAATGAGCTGCCAGCACTGGGCACTGCTGATTCGGGGTCAAAATCTCAGAGTTAAAGCCAGCCCAAGCCCCAGCCCGGGAAGAGAGCTCATCCAGACAGGATCCAGAGAGAAGTGACAGAGCTGGGAACTTTGCATCTAATTTGCAAGGAATGGGCTGGATTTGACACCAACAAACTCCCGTCCTCCTGTACTTGCTTAGGACACAAATGGGAATTATCCTGCTCCTTCAACAAATCAATGACTTAGATTGCACTCCTACCAGCAGCCCTCTGGCCACACTATGAGCTGAAGAGTTCTGTGCTGGGCTGTGATCTGGGGAAACCAAGAATCTCATTGATGCACAGCAGAGAAAAAAGCCTCATTAACAGTGTGTGCATGACCAGGGAGGTGCCTAAAGTCATCTTAGAAAGAAAACCTGAGAGGAGACAGGAGACGTTTCCTGGAGATGTAGAAGAAGATGGCAAATCCACCAGGGGGAGTTTGATCTTTAGGACAGACCTTGTTCCTGGGCACCTGCCTCTGGTGTCCTGTTCAGGGCACACTGACACCATCCTTCAGACAAGACCAGGTAACACCACCACTTAATCCCCTTCCTGGGAGTAAGGCTTTAAAAAGCCCTTTCTAGAAGCAGACTAAGTGAAGTAGGCTAAAAAGAAGAATTTTTGCAGACACGCAAGCAAGAAGTGTGAACAAGTTTTCTCTTTCCTTTTTAGCTGTCTTTCATTCAAAAGCTGGTTCAGAAAATCCCTCCGTGTGTGTGTTCTGCAGGAGATTTACAAAAACACACAACAAGAATAGTTGCTGTCCTTTTATATTACAGCAACTTTTTTGACTCAACATTTGCTTGTTTTTAATAATGTTTTATATCTAACTACATTGTATGTCTTACAATATCATTTCATATCTTATAATAGCTACACTTAAAGTAATAATTTACTCTTAAATACAAATAGAACATTTTAGAAGATAACAATTTAAAAAATACCTCAATTTTCAATGAAGAAATTTATGAAAATGTTAATTTTATTTAAAAAACCTTTTACTTACATTTATATTGTCTGGAGTTTCAATCCTCAGATTCTGAAAAATAACATATTAATTCATCTTCATTAACACTGATAAAAATACAATATCACATAGATTGTTTGACTTTCAAAGGAAGTTAAATATTCAAGAACAAGAGGATTCAGTATAATTAATTTTGGATTAGAAAAATGGAAATTGAATTTACCTGAATGTCCTTTGCCATTACCTCCCACATTTGCTGTAGAAGTGTCAGTAATTCAGCCATGCTGCTCCTCTGGGAAGCAGCAGAGATGCCTGCAGCCAGCAAGAGAAGGTAGAGATGGGTTTTCATCCTCTTGATGTGCTCAGAGGACCTCTAAGTAGCTCTGGACCAGTCCACCAGTCCTCTACCATTTTATGGTCTCTACAAGGAAATAGCACTTCAGGTTGATTTGGTAAACTGATTGAATTAAAAAAAAAAAGAAAGCCATTTGTTGAGGTTTTCTGGAAGAGAGAGGTTCCAGTAAATTTGGTGTCTAACCTTGGGACAACCTCTTTACCCAATCAGCATTTCCATGGAAAGAAATCTATAAATATCTGTTTTTTCAGCTTGAAAATCAGGAAAGCATAGAATGACCCAAAGCATGACCAGGCAGTTGCCACCTCCTGTAGCAGTTGCTACAGCTCTTCTCTAGAAATCACAGCTTCTTTGGCCACAGCATGGGGCTGGCTGAGAAACAATGGGAAAAAGACTGGTACAAGAAAAAAAAAAATCCAACAAAATCCCATGGAAAATATGTGGCTCACTGCATATAAAGGGAAAGTTACAGCATTTGTGCAATACTTGTGGCAAAATTTTGGCAAAATGTAGGCATTCTGTAAGAGTTAATTAATTTCAAGCAGGAGAAGCCACTGCCCTGCAGTGACAGGGTGGCCCCAGGGATGGGCACAGCAAAGTGGCCCCTTTTGGGTGGGAAAGGAGGGATGCAGGGTGTCCTGAGCGAGTCAGCCGTGACCCCATGGGCACAGCTGGTGCCACAGAGTTGATTTTGGGTCAGGACAGTGGTCCCCTTACTGCCCCACTCTCTGGCCAGGAGCTGGCGAGGGTGGAGCCCACCAGGTTTGCGAGGGTCACTCATCGAGGGCACCGTGGTGTGTTACCTGGCCAAACCAGCCAGTGGCTTGTGCTTCCCACTTTCCTGGAAGCTGGAAAAACTCCTTTTTTATTTCTTTTAAAAAAGGATGGGTTTATTTCACAGAAATGAGGGCAGTGGCCGGGGTGGCTGGAGTCCAGCTCTGTGCCTGCTGGGCAGGGGCAGATCCGGCGGCTCCGCTCGTGGGACCTGATGCCACAGCACTTACCAGTAAGTGCCTCAATATCTCAATACTTTGAATTGGGGAAGTCAAAAGTCACCAGTGGTTATGTGGCTTAGCTCAAGCTAATCTGTGAGCTGGCTGCTGCCCTCTTCACTGCATCTGTGTGTCATCTGGAACAAGAGTGGGCTTTTTCCCACACTTGGTGCTTATCTGTAGAACTTTCTCATCACACAGCTCTGGGGATTGTGTCCTTGTAGGAATGTGACAAGTAATAAGGAAGAAGTTTTTTACAGTGAGGAGGTAAAACACTGGCACAGGTTATCAGGAAAAGCTGTGGCTGCCCCATCCCTGGAATTGTCCAAGGCCGGGTTGGACGGGGCTTGGAGCAACCTGAGATAGTGGGAGGTGTCCCTGCCCATGGCAGGGGGTGGGACTGGATGATCTTTCAGGTCTCTTCCAACTCGAACCATTCTATGGACTCCACACCAGTGCATACAAGCCATACAACTGAAAATATTAAGCCCTGCTCTTGGTTTTTGGTGCTTTG